GCAGGAATGTAGACATCCATTCCCTTCTGCAAGTTCCTTTGTGGATATGTTAACCTCCTCAAGAAAATTGAAGTGATAGATGAGGAGAGCTGTCTTTTTAAATCACTGCAGCAAAAATTATGTGCTTATCAGCATCCAGTCACTGCATTTGAAATAACACATTTTTCTCAAAGTTACTAGCTCATCACTCTTCATGTTACCATATTTCTGGGTGTGGGCTTTTAAGTCTCCAGAATTCAGACTTGTGCAGAATTGTTTTCTTTGTTTCCAGAACAGAAAATAATCTTGAACTTCAAAATTAAACTTTAAAGAAATATTTTTTGTTGGTATAAATACCATTTTGAACACTCCACCCTGTTGTCATTGTTGCTGAGAAGGATATGTACCAGCTTAATATCATAGCTTATTGTGGTTGACCAGTGATTCCTAGTTAGGGTTCTTAAAGTACATTCTTTTCTTCAAATGTAACAAATGTAAATAATATGCTTCCCTGAAGCATGGTATATTATTTCTAAAAGGGAAAAAAAGGTATACCAAAAAAATTTTAGTTGTAACTGAGCTTCCTGTTTGTGCTGTATTTTTTCCCCAGTAAGTACTATTCAAAAATGTGTAATGTACTTTGAAATTCAAGCCCCAAACTCTTCATGCTTTTGATTTTTTTTTCCCCTCCTTGCAATCATTACTTGAAATATGGTTGTAACATTTGCCATCAGAGTTGTTAGCTAAAAACCTGTTGGTTTTAAGTGAAATGTCTGGACTGATTGCCATTTAATTCAAGAATAAACAAATTCTGGGTGTTTAGGGTGAAAATTTAGAAATGCTGGTATTGTGAGCTACCCTGGAAAGTTCATTGCAGAAGCACCTGGGCAGATGAAGCTTTACCAGTTCTCTGCCTGTCTTTCTACTCTATTTCCAGTGCTCCATGAAGGGCTGGCTATTCAGCACAGGCACTTTAGCCATACAGGTTGTATGTGGTGTTGCAGCCACATAAAGAAGTCCTTCTAGAGCTCAGCTCTGGGAAATGAGATCGGAAACAATTTCCCATTTTTAAAATATTTTTAACAGACTCTTCTGCTCATCTGTTAATCGTGGTACTCGGGACAGGTTCCCAGAGCATGATCAACCTCTGTCCCTTTCTCAAGTAATTAACTCAAGTTAATGCAGCAAAAATTGAAAATGCATTCAGTGTATTACTGCTGTACATCTTCTTGCAGTACCTGATTGGAAAGGCAGTATTCAAGCAATGATATTGAATGTTAATTTGTATTTTAAAAATACAGTAATTTATACACAGGTGGGTTTTTCCCTGGTATTTTAGTGCTTGGTTTTTCATATTTCTTTTTTTTTAGAAAGGAAGAAAAAATTGCTTTTGTAATAGCAGGTAAAGTTCACCTTTTAATCTTTTGAAGTAGGGTATGTAAGTTGCATAGAAGGCTTGGGAAAGAAACCAGTTTAATATCGAAGTGGACCATCTCTTGTGCTCATCAATTGCTTTTGTTACTTCACCATTTTCCTCTTCTGAAATCTGTATAATGCTTCCTTAGCTCACAGGTTTGTTGAGAGAGAATTCTTTTTCATGAAGCTTTTTAGAAGAATCTCAAGAGTTGTGCTACACATAAATATCCTTAAGTTTGAGCCTCATCTGTATTCCCAGAATCAGCTATGTTGGTTGATATTAAAGTCACAGTAATGAGTATTTATCCCACTTAGTGAATGTAAATTTTAAAAAGAACTGTAGAAAGTTAAAATAGAAAAGTTCTTTGACTTGAGGAATGCAACTCCTCACTTGGAAATTATGTGAATCTTTTCATACAAGTTGGTGGAGCAGGCCCAGCTGCGGCAGTGCAGACAGGTCGAGGAAGCAGCATATTGAAAGAAGATTCCACTTCTGAAAGGAAAGAACAAAGTTTGTTTGAAATGATGGGACTGCTATGTCAGCAGGAAAGCATCTTCTGTCGACATAAGCTGTGTCTCTGCCAGCAGGCGCTCTCAGTGCGGTTATGCCAGCGTAGTTGTTGTGACAAAGGCTCTATGAGGGAATTTAAATTTTTACTGTAGTTGCATTACAATTAAGTAAGAGAGAATTTATTTTGATTTCTTCTCCTTTTGGCCCCCCCACCCCGAGTTAAATTAATTTGAGGTCGATAGCTCTCATTCTATAAATCAATACCTGGAATTGCAGTGGAAGTACTTGCGATTGTAACGGGACCGGCTCGCTGCTTAGTGGTGTTCAGTGTGGAACAAAAGGTGAGCGCAGGCAGAGCTCTCTCACATTTCTTTATCTACGTTTCTTTAACAGTGGGGAGCTGTTAATGGCTGGTTTGTGTAGCCTCAAGTGCCACTGTCAGCTCAGAGTAATTTCTCATCCTGTGCCACCTCATTCTGCGTGATTTTAGGCTGTATGGCAAAATCATCTTCTGTCACTCTGGGCAGACTGGAGGAGTAGGATTGATGTAGTCTACTAACACATGCAAGTCTACATGAATGTCGTGTTATCCAAAACTTCCCCTGTGCCCACCAGAAAAATTCCTTTTCCACAAGCACTAGATAATAGAAAGGCTGTAAATATACGTTGTTGAATCGGATGTTGTTTTTAGGCTTAGCGGAACCTTTTGAAAAAAATACTTTTCATAGTTACAATTACGTATTATTGAGGAAGTGCAATGGTGTTTCAGAGAACATCTAAGCAGGATTATTATGGGTTATAAAATGTTAGTCTTCTAGTTTTAAGATAAGTATGTTACAGAAGGATTTTAGTATTTCCTGCAATTGTTTATGAAACAGGAGTTTGTGGTCTAGTCTTGGCTGGTTTCTGTGTTTCACAGCAAACGGCCCTTTTAGTTTGAAGGTCCTGTTGCAGAATGCTTTAAATTTTTGGGGTTTTCTTTTTTTCTTTCTCCAGGAATATAAATTAGCCATGTAGTACAGATTTCTGCTTGCTCACAGTTCTGCAGAACTTCAGAAAGCAACTGAATAAATCCACTGGTGTGCAGATATGGATAGCTGCAAAACAACATGGTGCTTACTTTTTTCTTGCTAGGTGCCTTTTGTCATCCGTGCTGACAGTTCTTAGAGAACTTTGTGATAAGCTCTTATTTCTGTCTTGTAAGAACTGCTTTCAGTATGAATTGGTAGCACTCCACAATTCCTTGGAGTAACCTAAACCATAATCTCTCCTCATGTCCTCTCCTCCGTACCTAACACTGTAACACGGTAACCGGTACACCACTTGATAGTCTTTGCATTAGCTGCACTTACTTTATAGGGAATCTTACGAAGGAGGGTTTGAAAAAACGAGTGTTACACAACTCTCTTCTTCCTTTAAAACCTTGGTTTGGAAAAAATCTGCCTTTGAATGGGTTATAACAGTTTTCCGTTTGGTGGTGCTTGCCTCTGTCACCTGTTATGCAATATTTAGTTGGTGGTTGGTGTCCATTCTCTCCTCGGCTCTAACTTCCAAGAAAGGTTTAACTGCTGCTTCTTGGATGATTTTTACAGTCTACATTCTTTTATAAAGTAGTCTTTTCTTTCTTCAGGATAAATTAGTGTCCTGACTGTCTTCAGTCCTTTATTTGGGATGCCTTCAAAGTGACTTCATATGGTAAGAGTATTGCTTTTTCCACTAAGGAAACGAAAGATGCAACTGCCAAATTATACAATCTGGTTTGGGAAATACACCTTCTTATTTTCCTGAGGATTGCCTTATTAGGCTTTGTGTAACAAAAAAAAAAACAACAAAAAAAAAAACCAACAACCAAACACCCAAAAAAACCCAAAACAAAACCAATGCCCTAAAAAAGAATTCCTAAATCCAGCAGACCCTTCATAGTTGTTATGAGTAAGTTAATGGTCAGAAATAACTACAGATACTTAATGAAAAAGTTATTTACTCATCCTTGTCATATAAGATGATCCTATTTATAGATGAGAAATAATGGCAACAGACTTGTTTTCCAGTAGATATTTTAATCTGAGACAATTAATAAAATAAATCTTAATGAGGTTAAACCACACAAACGGAATATCTCTTTTACCGGGTTCAGTAGTATCTTGCATGAATCTAGTTTAGATAGTTGCCTGTCTTTAATCACGTGCATTTAGTTTAATGGAATTTAAAAATAATGCGTTCTTAAACATCAATGTTAGATCTTTTATATAGTAATTTTCTTTTTTGCCTGTTAATATATTCAGAATGGCATGTGAATATTGTTTCAGAATAAGTTGTTGTAGAAGACTTTTTGGGATTTGAAGATATCAGTAGGCACTGACAGAATATTTAGGCACTTGGAAAATATAGTCTGGTTGGCCTTAAAAGCCTTGCGAAACCCAGTGCTTTCAACGGACCATATCCTTCAAGGAGCTGGAGTACAGAGCAATACCAGACTGTATCCTGTAGCTTTCCTGTTGTAGAACTGCCGCACCATACAGGGATGCATATAGAATCAGTTGTAGGATTGTTTTTTGTATCAGTAGTATGGGTGCAGCTCGTGCTTCAATTACTCCGAAAGCCAAAAATATCAAAAGCATTTTTGTACCAGCTCCAACATCAAGGGGCTCCT